AGGAACATACTTCAAGATAAAAGGCCATATGTCATAATCCTATAGCTAACATCATATTCAATGATGAAAAACTGAAAGCTTTTCATCTAAGTTAAAGAAAAAGGCAAGGATACTCACACTTGCCACTTTTATTCAATATAGAAGTGAGGCCCAATCCAGAGCAACTAGAAAAGATAAAGAAATAAAAGACATCCAAATCAGAAAGGAAGAAGTAAGCTGTTTCTATTTTCAAATATATTATATTATATAGAAAACCTTAAAGACTCTATAAGTAAACTGATAGAATAAAAAAATACACTAAAGATTTAGGATACAAAATCAATATACACAAATCAGAAAGAAATTAATAAAACAATATCATTTATAATTATATTCAAAAGAAAATATCTGTAATATATTTAACGAAGAAGGAGAAAAATCTATACTCTGAAAGTTATGTGACATTGACAAAAGATGCTGAAAAAGAACAAATAAATGGAAAGGTATTCTGTCCTTTTTGGCTGGAGTAACACATATTGCTTAAATGTCCACACTGCATAAAGCAATCTATAGAGTCAATTCAATCCCTGTCAAAACATCAATGAAATTTTTCACTAAAAGAGGAAAAACAATCCCAATTTTTTTTTGAAACCACAAAACCCCCAAAGGGCCAAAGCAATCTTGAGAAAGAACAAAGCTGTATTAGGAAGAACATGCTTCCTAATTTAAAACTGTATTACAAAACTGTAGTGATCAAAACAGTACCATGCTGGCATAAAACAAACACACAGACCAGTGGGAAATAATAGGAGCCCAGAAATAAACCCACACAGTCAACTGATACGTGTTAAAGGAGCCAGCGATACACAAAGAGGAAAAAGCAGTCTCCTCAATACATAGTGTGAGAAATTTGCATTTCCATTTGCAAAACAGTAAATCTAGACCACAATCTTAAAACTACAACAAAAAAGAACTCAAAATGGAATCAAAATTTGAATGTAAGACCTGAAACTACAGAACTCCTAGAAGAAACTAGAGAAGGTAAGTTCCTTGACATTGTTCCAGGTAATAAATTTTTTTGTATAAATCATAAATCACAGGCAATTAAAACAAGTAGGGTTACATTAAATAGCTCTGCACAGCAAAGGAAATCATCAATGAAAGAGTAACCTGTGAATGGGAGAAAATATGTGTCAATCATATATTTGATAAAGGATTAATATCTAAAATATATAAAGAATTTATAAAACTCTATAGAAAAAAATGATTTAAAAAATGGACAGAGGATCTCAATAGATGTTTTCAAAAAGAGGTACATGAAAAGTCCTCAACATCACTAATGATCAGAAAAATACAAATCAAAACTACAGTGAAATCACCTCATGCTTTAAAATGACTATTATCAAAAAGAGAAGAGAGAACAAGCAGCTAGTAGGCTATGGAGAAAAGAGAATCCTTAGGCCCTGTTGGTGGGAATGTACACTGGTGCAGCCAACATGGAAAAATACTATGTATGGAAATTCCTGAAAAAAATTAAGAAAAGAAACAAATATAATATTATATGTCAATTACACCACAATTAAAAAATTAAACTGCTATATGATCCAGCAATTCCATATCTGGGTGTTTATCAATAAGAAACAAAAATCACTATCTCAAAAAAGTATATGCACTTACATATTCATTGCAGCATATGTATAGTAGTCCAGACAGTGAAACAACTTGGATCAATTGACAGATGAATGAATAAAGAAAACATGGAAAATATACACTGGAGTTTTATTCAGTCATAAAAAAGAAATCCTATTATTTGCAACAACATGGGTACACCTTGAGGGCATTATGCTAAGTGAAAAAGTTAGACATAGAAGGCAAATAGTGTATGATCTCACTTATATGTGGAATCCGAAAGAAACTAAACTTAGGTAATAGACTGGTGGTTGCTGTAGGTTTGGGGGTAGCGTGATGGAGAAATGCGTAATGTGGTGAAAAGGTATAAACTCAATTGTAAGAGGAAGAAATCCTAAGAATGCGATATACAGCGTGTGCTCTATGCATAGTCACTCAGTCGTGTCTGACTCTCTGCAACCCAGTGAAGTGTCGCCCGTCAGGCTCCTCTGTCCACGGGATTCTCCAGGCAAGAATACTGGAGTGGGTTGCCATTTCCTTCTCCAGGGGATCTTTCTGAGCCAACGGATGAGCCCACGTCTCTTGCATCTCCTTCATTGACAGGTGGATTCTTTACCACTGTGCCACCTGAAAGTCCGTAATTAACAGTACTATTGCTTCCCAGGTAGCACTAGTGGTAAAGAACCTGCCTGCCGATGCAGTAGACATAAGAGACGCGGGTTCAATCCCTGGGTTGGGAAGATCCCCTGGGAGAGGAAATGGCAACCTATCTCAATATTCTTGCCTGGAGAATCCCACGGACAGAGGAACCTTGTGGGCCCCAGTCCACATGGTGGCACAGACTTGAAGATGACAGAAGCGACTTAATCCTGAGCGACAACACATACACACATGTAGTATATTTGAAAGTTGCTGAGGTAATAGATCTTAAAACTTCCTGCACAAGAAAAAAAGTTTGAGTGTATGTGTAGTATTATTGTGGTATACATTTCTCAAATATACAGATAGCAAATCATAATGTTGTACACCTAAAATGAATACAATGTTCTATGTCAATTATATCTCAATAAAAGTATATTCTTAAAATGACTTATAATACACATTATTAGATATGTGTAAAGTTGAATTTGCTTAGTTTTTTAATAATTTTATTTAGTTAGTTTTGGCTGTGCTGGGCATTCATTGCTGCAAGGGCTTTTCTCCAGTTGTGGCGAGTGAAGGCCACTCCTAGTTGCAGTGTGCAGGCTTCTCACTGGGGCGCCTTCTCTTCTTGCGGAGCATGGACTCTAGGGCACACAGGCTCCAGGAGCTGAGGCACGTGGCCCCAGGGTTTGCAGCTCCCAGGCTCTGGAACAGTCTCCACAGCTGTGGTGCCCCGGGTTAGGTGCTTCGATGCACGTGGGATCCTCCTGAACCCACTCCTACACTGGCAGGCAGGTTCTTTACCACTGAGCCATCAGGGAAGCCCTTGTTTAGCTTTTTGAAACTAAGCTTTCTCTGGAGAGGAGCTCTTTGGTGTTTACAATTTTCACTCTAATTTTTTTTAAATTTATTTTTAATTGGAGGATAATTGCTTTACAATGTTGTGTTGGTTTTTTCCATATAACAATGTAAATCAGCCATAGGCATACATATATCCCCTCCCTCTTAAGTGTCTCTTCCACCCCACCCTATCTGAATTTTTTAAACACTTTATTCTAAGGTATATTTCATTGAGATTATAAAACCCAAAAGACAAGATATGATACACTTTTTAGCATTTTTAAATTTAAATGTTTATGTAGATTTGCAAAACATTTTTGGCATGAAATATAAAGTAACAAGTTTACTAGTTGTTAATTTTCAGTTTTTAAAAGAGATGTTCTTAATTTTTTTCTCAAGTAGTAAGTCTGTATCATATTTTCACATTATGAGTAGTGTAAAGGGGTGAAGATTACTCAGTTTCTTTTTAGCATTTGAGACGATGACACACTTATTTATAGCTGTTTCCAGTTCAAAATTTAATATACCAGAAAGATGTCACTATAGAATTTTTATATTTGTTTTCATTCTTCAGTAGTTAGAAGGAAACAAGAGATTGTGTAAACACATCAATCGCATTTTAGAGATGAACAAACTAAAGACTTTCAAGAGTAAGGTACTTAATGAAACAGCTAGACAATAGAGTCTATATCAGGACTTCTGTGGTGGCCAGTGATTAAGACTCCAATCTTCCACTGCACAGGCATGGGTTTGATCCCTGGTCAGGGAGCCAAGATCCCATATGCTGAAAAACCAAATTAAAAAAAAAAAAAAGATTCTATTTCATGAATCAGATCAGCCTTTTCTCATTAGATATTTGGCTGGGAGATGGTGAGGTCAAGGATAGTTTTCTAAAGCAAAATCCAGGGCCTGAGTAAAAGACATTTAAAGGAGGTCAAGGTGATAGAGCTTGTGAATGACTTTTGACTAAATCCATGATTTTTGTCTCCGTGTGTCTCTTTTAATTGCTCTTTATTTTGGTGGCTTCTGACTTCCTATGATCCATGTTAATGAGGGCTGTGGACAAGTGGGACCATTCATTGCTTCTTCTGGCTTTAAGCAAGGAGAGTTTCCAAAGTGTGGTTTGTAGGGGAAGCCCTTTGGTAAGACACCACATGGGTGTCAGTATTTAGCATGTCTCTGTTCCCCCCATAGAGACATTAGCCCCCACTAAGGTACACAGTGCACTTAGGATGCCAGTGGTCTAGATGTCCTGTGACTTACAGCCCTGGTTGCCAAGCACCTCTTCCCCTGTTCTAATCCCACCTCTCCCTTCTGAACAACGACTGCTGATCTAGACAGGGTACCATGAACCCAGGGCGCAGTTCTACCTCCCCTTCCGTTTTTACTCTCTCCTTTATCACATGGGCTCATTGAGAGAAAGCCCTCTCATACATTCCTCACACAGTGCATAAAGAGAAGTGATGCCTGGTTTATAAAACAAAATCTTAAGCCTGTTTACTTAATATAATATTGTACGGCACATAAATGTAACAACCATCCTATATTCCCCTCTATAGTTGAATACATGAACAAGTAGACATTTTCTGCATACACTTAGCATGACTGTGACCATCGGCAGAACTGTACCATCCCTCACAGCAAAGTCTCCCTTTCTGACGTGGTCCATGGGATTAGGAAGATACTAGTTGTTTTGTCTTCCATGTCTCACATAGATACTTTTAATTTCTCAGTACCTTACTCCAGTTTCCTCCTTTTTTTCTTTGCCTTTTTTTCTCTGTCTAGATCATCTCTAAACACCTTTCCTTTTTCTATTTATCCAAGAAATATAATGTCTAAAAATATGTAAGTCTAAAATATTCAAAATATTTTTAAAATAGTGATTGTGGTTTCCTCTTCCATGGTTTCAGCCATGATAAGCTATGAGACCAACAACAGATATGAAATCAAGAACAGCCGTGGACAGAGGATGTACCTTGCAGCGGAGGACACTGCTGTATGCACTCGGCTTTGCTGTGGGTCCTGCAGACCCTTCACCATGAGGATTCGCGATCTCAAGGGCCAGGAAGTCATAACTCTGAAGAGGCCACTGCGGTGTTCCAGCTGTTGTTTCCCCTGCTGCTTACAGCAGGTCAGTGAGCAGTTGCCTGGGTCCTCTGTAAGTAGGCCAGCAAGAAGCTTTACCCTGTCTTCGAACTACACAACCATATGAGATTTAAAGGAAAAGCAGCACACCAGTATTGGGTTATACTTGAGAGTAACTTGTAGGAAGGAGGCAGGTGGAAAAGAGTAAGCCGTTAGCCGCACCGCCCTGAGCAGTGTGCCCTCTGGGCTGAGATCAGAGAGCTCAGAGACCAGACTTCTTGATCTTCAGGGAGAGCTGAGAATTAGGGCACCTGGGTCACGTCCCTCACCTGAAATGACCACGAGGGCCTGGCCAGACCTACAGGAGGGTTCCATAGAGAATATCTTTGAATGCCATCCCAGAGGCAAGTGGACAGAAGAGTGAGGAAAAGAACAGATGTGTTCATCTCATAATTTTAGCCAACTTGCAGGGAGCTAACCTAGGGAAGGCTCCCTCTAAGAAATCTCAAATCCTGTGTTTTTCAGTTCTCTATTTGGAAAAAAGTATTATATCTGAGTGTTGTGAGCACCTTCAGGCCTGTAAAGGCCAGGTGCCTCTTCCATAGAACTCGACAGCCCTCTGACAGAGAGCACGGGTCTCGGTGGGGGGGTGGGCAGCAGGGCACAGAGTGTTTACAGAAGTTGACCTTTGCCTGTACCTCCACTGGCCTGAGACCTGCACTGCCTGGGTCACTCAAGCATCTGTACCGGTCGCTGCGAGAGCAGGGCAGACAGAGCTACAAGCACATACACACTTGATGTCTAATACTGCACTTCTTTTGAAAGGATAACTGAACTTATTTATACTGAATTTTGTTTCCCATGTCACCTACTTTAGATATAACAATACTCATAAAAATAGCTAAGGCAAAATTGAGAGTTTGATGGAATATTTTTCACAATTTGTAGGGCACATTAGCATCCATTATACTTTTGGTCTTAAAAAATAGGCCTAAGAAGTCCTTACTTACAGATGAACATGCTGAGATACTCTCAAGGTCACCCAGCTAGGGTTCAGAGCCAAGAACCCAGGCCCCATTTTTCCTTACGTTCTAGCACTATTACACTCATATTTGAACATTGCCCTGGGGATCAGAGCTCCGTTTGTACACTAAACTACTATTTATAAAGGAGTTTAAGGGTTTTAATAATTTAGATATTTTTCATAAGTCTGAAAAAAGGAAAATTTTGAAATATAGGCGGCCAGTAGAGCAGCACTTCGAAGTGGAGGCTGTGTGTGCAGTTGCGTCTCATCCCTTCCACGTCGCCCCTGAGGAGGCGGTGTGTGCAGTTGGCGTCTCACCCCTTCCACGTCGCCCCTGAGGAGGCTGTGTGTGCAGTTGCGTCTCACCCCTTCCACGTCGCCCCTGAGGAGGCTGTGTGTGCAGTTGGCGTCTCACCCCTTCCACGTCGCCCCTGAGGAGGCGGTGTGTGCAGTTGGCGTCTCACCCCTTCCACGTCGCCCCTGAGGAGGCGGTGTGTGCAGTTGCGTCTCACCCCTTCCACGTCGCCCCTGAGGAGGCGGTGTGTGCAGTTGCGTCTCACCCCTTCCACGTCGCCCCTGAGGAGGCGGTGTGTGCAGTTGGCGTCTCACCCCTTCCACGTCGCCCCTGAGGAGGCGGTGTGTGCAGTTGGCGTCTCACCCCTTCCACGTCGCCCCTGAGGAGACTGTGTGTGCAACTGGCGTCTCACCCCTTCCACGTCGCCCCTGAGGAGACTGTGTGTGCAACTGGCGTCTCACCCCTTCCACGTCGCCCCTGAGGAGACTGTGTGTGCAGTTGCGTCTCACCCCTTCCACGTCGCCCCCGAGGAGGCGGTGTGTGCAGTTGGCGTCTCACCCCTTCCACGTCGCCCCTGAGGAGGCGGTGTGTGCAATTGGCGTCTCACCCCTTCCACGTCGCCCCTGAGGAGACTGTGTGTGCAATTGGCATCTCACCCCTTCCACGTCGCCCCTGAGGAGACTGTGTGTGCAGTTGGCATCTCACCCCTTCCACGTCGCCCCTGAGGAGGCGGTGTGTGCAGTTTGTGTCTCACCCCTTCCACGTCGCCCCTGAGGAGGCGGTGTGTGCAGTTGGCGTCTCACCCCTTCCACGTCGCCCCTGAGGAGGCGGTGTGTGCAGTTGGCGTCTCATCCCTTCCACGTCACCCCTGAGGAGACGGTGTGTGCAGTTGGCGTCTCACCCCTTCCACGTCGCCCCTGAGGAGACTGTGTGTGCAGTTGGCGTCTCATCCCTTCCACGTCGCCCCTGAGGAGGCTTAAACCAATTGGTTTACCTCTCTGTCCCTCAGTCACTTCCTCTATAAATAGGAATAATAGTACCAGCCTGCTAAGAATGGAGTGTGAATTAAGTGGTGCATAGGGTAGTATTTTGCACTCAGAAAATGAGCAAAGGATTTAAATAGACATTAAAGAAATGTATTTTTCAAAGAAAACATAGAGATGACCAAAAGATATATGAAAAGTTGCTCAAAATCACTATTGGTCAGAAAAATGCAAATCAAACCCGCAATGATATCTTACATCACACCTGTTAGAATGTGTTATCACGAAGACATGTTGACAAGGATGTGTCAATAGAAAAAAGGGAAATTTTTATACATTGGTGGGAATGTAAATAGCCATCATGGAGATGAGTATCAAGTCTCCTCAGATTATTAAAAATAGAACTACCACATAAGCCAGCAATCCAACATTTGAGTATATATCCTAAGGAAATAATATCAGGTTCTCAAAGAGATTTCTGTACTTATGTGTTTGTTGAACCCTTATTTAGTAGCCATGATATGGAAACATCCTTAGTGTCTACTGACTGGTGAATGGATAAAGAAAATGTGAGATGTGTGTGTATATACACACACACACATGTGCATACATATATATACAAATATAAAATATTATTCAGCCAAAAAAGAGAAGAAAATCTTGCCATTTGTGATAATATACATGCACCAGAAAGTATTATGCTAATTGATAAGTCAGATTAAAAAGAAAAATGCTATATGGTTTTATGTATATGTGTAATCTGAAAAAAAAGTCTAACTCATAGATACAAAGAATATAATGGTAATTGCCAGGGACTGGTGGGTGGGAGAATCAGGGTATGTTAAGTCAGACACTACAAGCTTGCAGTGATAAAATGAATAAGCTCTGAGGATCTAATATGCACCCTGAGGACTACAGTTAGTAATGCTCTACTGTATGCTTGACATTTGCTGAGATAGAGCTCATGTGTTCTTACAAAAAAAAAAAAATCACCCATATGAGGTGATGCTTGTTTCAGCTAACCTAATTGTGGCGATCTTTCTACGACGTGTTTGTATAACAGACCATCGTATCATACACTCTAAACATGTCACTGACTTTCTGTGTCAAATGTACCTCAGTGAAGGTGGGAGAAAATAATATTATTAATTGAAAAAAACTACTCAATAAATGAAAGTGATTATCAGACATTGTTCCAGTGATGATGATAATTACATATTACCTTACTCTCTTGTTTTTGTAGATAGAAATCTGTGCTCCTCCTGGTATACCAATAGGTTATGTTACACAGACCTGGCACCCATGTCTGCCAAAGTTTACAATTCAAAATGAAAATAAAAAGGACGTTCTAAGAATTATAGGCCCATATTTTGCGTGCAAGTTTTGTGGAAATATTGAATTTAAGGTAAGAGATGAGATATATTTATAGGATTTGCTTTGCTAATATAAGGATAATATAATTTTGTAAGATGTTACAAATACATTAAATAAATATTTGTATACTGATATCTCAAGAGGACGATAATGTGCTCATGTATTTAACCTTGGTCAGAAAGGTAGTTATTGCTCTGATTAGATGTCAGTGTTGATTATATTAAATGGAAAAAGAGAAGCAGAGCCTTACAGTCACATAAACATAAGCAAAATATCTAACATTTAAACATGGTGGGTTTTGTATGGAGGCACTGAATATTATCATTTAAAACAGAACATTGTGTGTTTTCAGTCATGTCCGACTCTTTGAGGGCCCATGGACTGTGGCCTGCCAGGCTCCTCCATCCATGGGATTTTTCAGGCAACAGTACTGGAGTGGATTGCCGTTTCCTCCACTAGGGGATCTTCCTGACCCAGGGAGGGAAATTGTGCCTCCTGTATTGGTGGGGGATTCAATTCTTTACCACTGAGCCATCAGGGAAACCCCAAATAGAACATTAGCCTTGTTATTAAATCTGATTGCCAAAGCATTTAGTCTTTCCTTAGTCTGAAACACAGACTTCCAGTGTTCTAGACCCTTTTCAGGAGCTCTGACTCTTTAAGTTCCTTTGAAAAGCTCACGTATGCAAAGAGAATTTTAACAAAAATGCAATAAGACATACTATACAGTTAGGCTTTCTATGGTCCTGTAAACCACAATATATTTGTATATTTATTACTACATGAATAAATTCTATCATGGCAGCTTTTCAACAGGTAGTCTAGCCTTATAGCTTTTGTATTATTCAGATACAAATGCATAATATAAAGGTTCACTGTTTTGTAACTTAATCTTAATATAATGATTCTCTTAGAAAACCATGAGGTCTGTTCAGCTGCATCCAAATTTCCGTACAAGGGACAAAAATCTAAATCTGGAACTAACACAACATTGTAAAGCAATTATCCAGCAATTAAAAATAAATTAGAAAACAAGAAAAATTTTACTTTGAAGCTCTTTGTTTTTTTATGCATCCTTCCTCTTTTATTGTTCAGCGCCATTCTGTTGTCCAATCTTACCCCAAGCTTGGAGCTGGAGCATGCCATCAAGTTACTTATTGGTTACCTACCTTCACTCAAAACTGCCAGTCTGCTTTTCCGGGCTTTTGGCATTTTACATTTTGCTACTGATAGTGGATGATAATGAGGACTTCTATCATATTTAAACACTCACCCTATGTCAGCCCTCTGTGCTTGTCTTAAACTAGAATTCAGATGGGCATTCCATTTACTAACCCCCCCCCAATGGCTTCTAGAAATTTGTCAAAGAAATATTTCATATTTATATCATTTTCACTTAACTTTTATTTTGGATCAGTTCAACTCACTTATTAAGTCTGTCTTAATGTTAACTTTTCAGCAAAACTACTTTTATGTAAGTCCTCTAAAGCAAAGAAATAATTTTTCATGTATCTATAGACAGATGCAAATATCTGTATGCATCTAATGGATCATAATATGCACAGTTCCATTTGGCATGTGATTTTAAGAGTATATCTGTTTCATTTTTATCCAACTTTGAAAGTAGATTAAAATTTTCTACAATTTTTTTTAAGACTGTCTCCTTCTTTTTTTAATTCAGATTAAATCTCTTGATGGAAAAAATGTGCTTGGCAAGATTTCCAAGCAGTTTACTAAGATTATGAGAGAAATATTTACACACTACAGTACCTTTGGCATCCAGTTTCCTGCGGACATTGATGTGAAAATGAAAGCTGTGATACTTGGCATGTGTTTTCTCCTTGTAAGTCTGTTGTCACTAATTTTGGCTTTAGATGATTTCTCTAGTATCAGGCTTAAATTATTCAGTAAATTGTATATTTTAGAATGAGCTTCTTAAATTTATAGTTTTTTTTTTTTCCCAAAAGTATTTATTTAGTCCTAGCTCTTAAATCCTGTTTCACCTGACACTGTAGATTCATAGACTAGTTCTCTCTGGGACCTCTGCTCAGGTTCCCGTGTCAGCAGGAAGACCTTCTATGTTAAGGAGAGGCCCTAGTCTTTGGGGCCTGTATTAAAGAATCAAAATTAGTGATATGGGAATACTTTATAAATATGAGCTTACATAGGATAAAACTCAGAGAAACAGGTAGGTTTCCTTTTTATTCACTATTAAATCATCTAATATAAGGTGTAATCTGCAATGAGTATATATCCAATCAAGCCATCAGATCAAATTGCAAATTGAGAGGAAATACATAGGATAAAGCAATGAACCAGACCTTATCTTCACATTAAATAATGTAGGGAGAGTTCAGAAACCCCAAATACCGTATCATACCCCAGTTCAATTAAGTCAGAAGGTTAGCATCAGAAGCTTGTAAAACTCCTCAGATAAATTCATATCCAGTCAAAGTCAAAGACACCTGAGACAGAGCAATGATTTTTCACCCTTACCGATACAGTAGAAATGCCTGGGTAGCTTTCACAGTCCCTATGTCAAGACTGCCCACATCTAGTAAACTAAAATCTGTGGAGGTGGAAACAAGTCTTTAAGCTGATTAGGCTCCCAGGTCATTCCAGTTTCCAAACAAGATTTGAAATCATTAGATAACTATCTTAAACAGTCATTGGAGATGCAATCAGGAAAAACCAAAAGGTGAGAGGATATATAGCAAACAGGACCCTTTCCTTCAACAAATAATTGTCAAGGAAGATAGAAAGAAAAATAAAATGAAAAAAGCAGAGAGACATCAACCTTACCCAGTTTGTGGAGCATGTCTGCATATTGATTTGGACAAATCAATGTAAAAACACATTAACAGGGCATCCAGGGAATTTGAATACTGACTGGCTATTTGATGATGATATAAAAATAAAGTTTTTTTAAGCTCTGATGATAATAATACCTATGTACTATTGTTGTTCAGTCACTAAGTCATGTCCAACTGTTTGCAACCCCCATGGTCTGCAGCACACCAGGCTTCCCTATCCTTCACTATCTCCTGGAGTTTGCTCAACTTCATGTCCATTAAATCAGTGATGATATCTAGCTATCTCATCCTCTTTTGCCCACTTCTCCTATTGTCTTCAATCTTTCCCAGCATTAGTCTTTTCCAATGTGTTGGCTCTTTGCTTAGGTGGCCAAAGTACTGAAGCTTCAGCTTCAGAATCAGTCCTTCCAATAAATATTCAGGGTTGATTTCCTTTAGGATTGACTGGTTTGATCTCCTTACTGTCCAAGGGACTCTCAAGAGTCTTCTCCAGCACCACAATTCAAAGGCATCAATTCTTTGGCACTCAGCTTCCTTATGGTCAAACTCTCACATCTGTACATGACTACTGGATAAACCATAGCTTTGACAATATGGTCTTTTGTCAGCAAATGGATGTCTCTGCTTTTTAATATGCTGTCTACATTTGTCACAGCTTTCCCTCTAAGCAGCAGTGTCTTTTAATTTCATGGCTGCAGTCACTGTCCGTAGTGATTTTGGAGCCCAAGAAAATAAAATCTGTCACTGCTTCCACTTTTTCCCTATCTATTCACCATGAAGTGATGGGGCTGGATGCCATGATCTTAGTTTTTTGAATATTAAGTTTTAAGCCAACTTTTTTACCCTCCTCTTTCACCCTCATTAAGAGGTTCTTTAGTTCCTCTTCACTTTCTGCTATTAGAATGGTATCATCTGCATATCTGAGGTTGCTGATATTCCTCACAGAATTATGATTCCACTTTGTGGTTCATCCAGTCTAGCATTTCCCGTGATGTACTCTGCATAGAAGTTAAATAAGTATGGTGACAATATACAGCATTTTAATACTCCTTTCTCAATTTTGAACCAGTTCATTGTTCCATGCCTGGTTCTGACTGTTGCTTCTTGACCCATATACAGCTTTATTAGGAGACAGGTAAGGTGGTTTGGTACTCCCATCTCATTAAGAATCTTCCACAGCTTTTTTGATCCAAGTAATCAAAGCATAGTCAATAAAGCAAGAGTAGATAGTTCTCTTGAACTCCCTTGCTTTCTCTAAGATCCAGTGGAGGTTGGCAATTTGATCTCTGGTTCCTCTCCTCTTTGAAACCCAGCTTGTGCATCTGGAAATTCTTGGTTCATGTACTGCTGAAGCCCAGCTTGAAAGATTTTGAATGTAACCTTGCTAGCATGTGAAATGAGCACAATTGTGCAGTAGTTTGAACATTTTTTGGCATTGCCCTTTCTTGGAATTGGAATGAAAACTGACCTTTTCCAGTCCTGTGGCCGCTGCTGAGTTTTCCACATTTGCTAACATATTGAGTGCAGCACTTTAACAGCATCATCATTTATGATTTTAAATAGCTCAGCTGGAATTCTATCACCTCCACTAATTTTTCTTGCAGTAATCCTTCCTAAGGCCCACTAGACTTCACACACCAGGATGTCTCACTCTAGAGGAGTGATCACACCATCATGGTTATCCATGTCATTAAGACCTTTTTTGCATGGTTCTGTATATTCTTTCCCCCTTATCTTAATCTCTTCTGCCTTCATTAGGTCCTTACTGTTTCAGTCCTTAAACATGCCCATCCTTGCATGAAATATTCTCTTGATTTCTCCAATAAGATATCTCTAGTCTTTCCCATTCTGTTGTTTTCCTCTATTTCTTTGCACTCTTCATTGAAAAAGACCTGTTTATCTCTCCTTGCTATTCTTGGAACTCTGCATTCAGTTGGGTATATCTTTCCCTTTTTCCCTTGCCTTTCACTCCTCTTCTTTCCCAACTGTTTGTAAAGCCTCCTTAGATAACCACTTTGCCTTCTTGCATTTCTTTTTCTTTGGGATGGTTTTGATTACCCCTTCCTCTACAGTGTTACAAACCTTCCTCCATAGTTCTTCAGGCACTCTGTCTATCAGATCTAATCCCTTGAATATATTTGTCATTTCCACTGTATAATCATAAGAGCCTTGATTCAGATCACACCCAAATGGTCAAGTGGTTTTCCCTACTTTCTTC